TTTCTGGCAGAGACAATATGTGTATATTGTTATTGCACTGAGTTGAAAATAACGTTAGATAATTCTGAAGTTTTCTTTATAACCCTGAGGTTCTCTGATTCAATGGTTCTGTGAGTTTATCCCTAAGAACTTAGAAATTTGAAGCCTCACAACCTTATACTTCAGTGTACAGTTCTGCCTGCTTTAGTTTTATATATTGCCATTTCCATAATTCTAAAAAACATGGCTCATATCTCCTCTGTCCCACCCACATCCCATTTCCCTTTCAGTTTCCTAGTCTTGGAACGCTCTCTGCTTTTGTCCAAGGCTCATCCTTAACTCTGCCTTTCCCGAAACCTTTTCCTTCTGAGATGCACAGAAATGTTTGTTTCCTTTTCTTATTTTTTCCATATTTGTCACCTAGGATGCTTTATCTGTAGATGCACTGGCAGCAATGAAATAAATTTCTATGGTAACTTCTATGTTATTTCCTTTTTTGGATGAATTCCTTAGTTCCTCACAATGAATGATGGTAGGATTATTTGAAATTCCATCAAATGTTGCCTTTCAAATATTCTTGCTTCTTCAGAAGACTGAATTTTCTGGAGTCACAGGCTTGCCCTTGTTTTCCTATTGTATCTTTTATAGTGCTGAGGTTTCTATAAACAGATCATAAATGATTACTAAGTTAAATGAAGGACAGTGGAGCCAAGCGACCTGATAAACACGATATACCAGTGAATCCACAGAGTACACGTTTTTATTCAAATAGTATTTATGAGATTGCTTTTGCGGTGGTCTACTACCTTGTATAAATGCTTTTAGAGAAGGTTATGTTTTGGTTCTCTTTTTCATTGTCTTTTAAGAGCAGAATCGGAACAACAGAGATGGTAGAGTACGAACGGCTTACAAAGACAAGAAGAAAAAGCTGCCAATCTTTCCACAAGGTTATGAGAGCAGAGCACCCTCCTACCCTCCAATTCTTTCTAAGAGATAGCATTCTTTTAGAGTTATAAAGATTGATGCTTCTTATTTTTGTTCCAAATCTTAACTACTCTGCCTGCTGTTCTACAGTTAAGGAGTAAATTTCAGTTTTGTCCCTGCCATTTTTTTGTCCCTGACATTTTGTACAGCTTAGAATTAGGCTGTTTTTATGGATTTTAGATTCAGTGGATATTTTACTGATTTTCAGTTTTACTTCTGGATTGCTTCAGCTGTTCTCACCTGAAACTTGGTGTCCTGGGCATGACTTTTGAATGCCAGTGTTGCCTCTTAGGCAAAGTTATTTCCTTTCCAAATTTGATCATATTGTCTGATGGGTATCATGGTTTCCGTTGTAGAATTGAAACTCATCTTTAAACCTTAACATTATATACTCAGTTATTTGCTTTGTCTTATTGATGTAACTTTTTTTTGAGACAGCCTATATATTCCATGCTAGCTTCAAACTCACAGTGATCCCCCTGCCTCAGCCTCCTGAGTGCTAGGATTACAAGTATGCCACCATGTCCAGCTTTGATATGACTCTTTGTTGGGTCCGTAGAATCCCTTTGAATCCTGCCTAATTACTGGCGTCCTGTATGCAAGAAATGTGAGCTATTCCCTTTTCACAGGTGTCACCTGAGGTTTAGATCTTATTCTACCTCTCAGATTTTAGCCTGGCGTTTTGATGAATCTGTTCAGGAGCTAAATCAATTTTAAAGATTGTCTAGTTATGGTGTATAAGTTTTGACTTAGATCTGTATTCCTTTTCTGACTTTACTAACTTAAAGCATTTGTACATGGTACCTGACTTGAATTGCATTTTATAAGATTAATGTGGGCATTCTGAATGATTTATGTCATTTATTTACTAGAAGAAGAAGTTGTTTCAGCTTGATTGTCTAAGATTTCATGGGATATTAAAAGATGTTGCAGTGCTCTACATTATGTTTTTATTCTTCCCCAATTCGTATATTCAGTATTTTTTCCCTAGATAATGATTACTATGGACCTCCAATGTGATGACATTAGAATGTGGGGCCTTTGGGAAATAATTCAGCACATGAAGGAAGGGTCCTCATGAAGGAAGGGACCTTTTAAAAAAGGTCCTCGGACATCTCTTTTGTCTCTTTCTGCCATTGTCAAAATACAGTGCAAAATCTGAAGTCTGCAACCCAGAAGAGATCTCTCACCATAACCTGACCTTGCTGGCACTCCAATTTTGAACTTTTAGCCTCTAGAAATGTGAGAAACATTTTTCTGTTATTTGTAAACCATTCACTGTAGAGTATCGTTGTTAGAGATGTTACTTGAAAAAATGTTTCTGTGGTTAAATGTGTTTGGAAAACACCGAGTTAAACATTATTAAACACTTTTTTTTTGTATCAGAGATTGAATTTACAACCTCATGCTTGTCAGGCAGGTGATTATGCCACTGAGCATATCCCCAGCCATTAAAAACTATTCTTAAATGAATTACGACTTTCTAAGATACAGAGTAGAGTAGCAACTTCTTCAGTTTTTATTTTTTGACTTAGAGGCCATTTCTTTCAGGTTCATTTTCTAGTGGTTCAAAGACTACTAGTGATTCTTGTAACACCCCTTACAATTGGACTTCTACTTTAAAGAATACTAATACTAAATTTAAAAAAAAAGCTTATTTAAAGAGAAAAAGAAAAACAAAACAGAGAAAGGGTACAAGTAATACAGAATTTCAAAAAAAAATAAACAGTAAGAAATCACTAGTTAATAGATTATATATTGTCATCTTACAAATAGTTGTTCAAGTTACAAAACTAAAGCATACAAAGTGGACATTCAAACAGTGAGACTGCAAACAGTTCTGTTCAGTGATCCAACAAAAACACAGTGATATAGTTATCTGTCTTATACACTTAAATATACATGCAGTTATATCCTTTAGAGCACTTTCTTTTCCTCTCTTTTTTACAATAACAATTACACATTTTGGGTTTTATTACTCCCACAATTCTTATTACTTTTTTTTCAAGAGCATAAAACCAAATGTGACAAAACAAAACGGAGTCAGTCAAAGCAAAAGGATGGACATAGTACATGATGTAAAAACAGAATACAAGATGATCAACAATGGTTACCATAATGCCTCTTGTTATTTTAAAAAGTTGCCTATATCATCAGTTAGAATAAAATTGAACAAAACAGTACAGAACAAAACCAATAAAACTGAAACATTGGAGACATTAGAGGACTTCAAAAGAAGATAATAGTCAAATCAGAATGGGCATCATACTGAATCTTATTGTCTTCAAAGTAGTTGCCTATATCCTCAAACTTGATACTATCAAGCAAAACAGAATAGAGTAGAATCAGTCAAAACAAGATGATGAGAGCAATACAGGGCTTCAACTTAATAAGATATCAAAATGGTTAGTATAATATATCCTGCTATTTTTAAAATTTATTTTTTCCCTTAATTAGAAAAATAAAAAAATACAAAAAGGAGATTGAGATAAAAGAGGACATAATAACACAACAGCACAGGTCAGAACAGAACGATTTAAGCAACATAGTGTTTTACCACAAGATAACCTGACATAACAGTAGTTACCATAGTGTCTCTTTCCTTGTAATATTTGAGTATAGCGTCATATACTATAGTATCAAACATATCAAGATTAATACTAAATTTTGTGAAACAGCTCTCTGTAAGTTTTTTCTTTTTTTTTGGTAGAGAGGGAAGCTAGTCCTGTATAAATACAGTTGCAGTTAAGAACAAATCATAGTTAAATTTGTTGTATGAAAATGACCTTTAATAATATATATTTATACTCTTAACATTCTACTTAAGCCAATTTTAAAACAAAAATGCAAGAAAAACCCTAATTCTGTCAGCTTAACCCTTAGAAGACCAAAATCTTAGTTTTTATTTTTGATTCTTTTTTTCCTCTGAGAAGAAAAATTCCAAACACTGTCTGTCTTAGAAGCTCCTGGTACTAATTAGGAGTTTACCTATGCAAGTAATTTTGGTGTCCTAAATATTAATTGCTTATCTCTCAGTTTGCTGTATCAACACTTTATTTTCATAGATCTCTACTTTTTGCCAGTATCTCATGCTTGCTTTGGAACTCTGATAGATTTGCTATTGTTCTATAAGTTTTTCTGTGTTTCTGTTGGGCAAAGAGGCCATATTTATTTTCTTTGGAAACTATTTACTATAAAGATGAAAATCAAAACATATAATTAATATTTACTGATAACTCAGAGTAGTAATTTTGCCTGAGTAATTACCATGGGCAAATGGGTGTTTAAAAAAAGAATGTAGGCAAATTAAATTTAATTAAGGTAAATATTTATTATCTATTTTTTCCAAACTGTGCTTGCTCGATGAGACACAGAAACTAATAGAGATAAATAAAAGTTCAATCCTCAGAACCGCTTTTCATATTTAGTATAAAGTCAGAAGTGTGAGGAAATTAGAAGAGTTCAGTATTCAGCTTCCTGAGCTCTGTGCTCCTCACGTTAGCAGTAGCTTTTGAGGAGGCTTCTAGACGCTCAGCAAGTTGACATCTGACTGATCCTCTAGGTCTCTGCGCAAGGAATGTCTTCTATAACTTTCTCCTATGCCCTCTGATTTCCAGAAAGACCCAAGTGATGCCATACTTTCCCTGTAACACTGATATTGATAATAATAATAGCATGTCATAAGGTAGTTATGCATTCATATTTATAAACATTTCCATAAATATTAATGATTATTATTAAAAATAGGGCAATAATTTTCAGGGGAAATTGAATGTTACTAAAATCCTACTCTGAGAAACCCCTGTCTCAGATTTAGGCATGTGAGTAGCATTCTGGAATTTGGTTTTCAAAAATCAGACATATGTGCATTGCTAGCATAGAGAATCACATATTATATATCTGCTCTACTGAAATAATAATATATATAAATTTATTTCTGTTTTTATTTTCAACAACAATAATAGCAATATTTCCTCTCATATTTTTCTCATCTTTTCCTTAAAAGTATCAATATGTAACTGTTTCAATTCTCTTAGGTTTTGTAGTCCATATCTCTGGGAGAATGTCAGGAGAGGAGAAACAGAAAAGAAAAAGGGCCGCAGCAGGTTTCTCAGGTAATGACTGCTTTTGTGACGCTGTGTGACTAAGTGGTAACTCTATTACTGTTTCTCCTGAACGCCCCTGCGGATCCAAGGGAAGTCATTGTTGTTTCGGGGAGCTATTAGACTGACCACTTGTTAGTCTTTTCTTCTGTGCAAAACACGAGCAGTATGAATGCTACTCGGAGGTAGATGCTTCCCCTCAGAATGGGAATAAGGGAAGTCAATTATAATGAAAACAGACGTGAATACTTTTCAGTCTTTCTAGTAAAAAATGTAGGTAATGTATAAAGAAGTTAAGTGGATTATAAATTTTGACTTATTACTGACAGATAACACATTCTTTGTTAAATTCTAGTAATTCTTAGAATTTACATATAATGATAAACCCCTGGCATATGAACTTTAAAATATTAAAGCTTAATACTAATGACTAGGATGTTTGTCAGATAAACTATGTTCCAATTTTCTCCAGGTTTGTATTTTGAGTGAAAAGAGTACCAATTTTTAGTCTGTTTTAATATATCTTACAAATGCAGAAAGCAAGGATTGTGTCTTACAGATTTCTGAGTACTTGGTTTTTAGCATTCTGTGAGTACAATATAGTATTTTGTTGATTACTGGAAATGCTAACATTTTTCACATTTTCAATGTGTTTTGGTGTTTTAGTGACTTTTAAAAAAACCTTTTCTTTCTGGCAGAGTGAAAGATGTTACCTGTTCATTGTGTTTAAGTTGTATTGAAAATTGTCACGGCCTTTCTTGAAAATAGTCAACTATTTTCAATATGTTAGGTGAAACCAATCCAACCATTTCTCTACAATATTATGTATTTCTCTCCAAATACCACTGTTGAAAATCTTATTTGTCTTACAAAAATCCATGTTATTTTTGTGTGGATGCCAAATATATTACTATATCCTGTAGCATTTAGTTATAGGAACTTAAACATTTTTCTTATAAAAACTTCATTTAATTGAATGACATAAAGGAAGGCTGAAAAAATATATACAGACTTAAAATGAAAATTTGAGTATTACTCCTGGAAACTTGAGACATTCACGGTATGTGTGAGGTGTGATCAAAACATAGTGAGGGGTATGTGGTGGAGCATGCCTGTAATCCCAGCGCTCAGGAGGCTGAGGCAGGAGGATCATCATGAGTTTGAGGGAAGCCTGGGATGCATAGTGAGTTCATGGGCAGCCTGAACTACATAATGAGATCTTGTTTCAAAACAAAAAACAAAACAAAACAAAACCAAAAACCTACAGTAAAAATTTAAATTAAAAAATTACAATGTATAAAAGATACATTAACAAACAAACAAACAAACAAAAAGACACATTGCCATTCATCCCTCACAGAATGCTCCCCTGGGCTCAAACACACATCCCATTGTTTTTGCATTTCTCTGAAGCAGTTCAGGAAGTCCTCTTTCTGAGTCTTCATGAAGTATGAATACTGCTACTTAGTGCCATCTAATGGAAAGACAGGCTCATAAACAATGGTGTATCCTCATCCACCTTTGTCATCACATCTGGCATTGTGAGACTTCTGACTCTTCCACAAAGACAAAATGACCACGAGAGGGAAATGTGAGTTGATTCAAGACACTGAGTCAGCCACAGAGGTGCGATTGAAGGACTTCCACGACTCTCCAGGAACTAGGGGATCAGTGTGTTTGAAGTGAGTGGGAGAATTTGAGGGGGCGCAGTGGCACTGTGTCTTTTAGTATAATCAGTTGGAAACGTTAAACACCACACTTTTTGACTGGATTATGAATACACATATAGACACAGGCTGGCAAAAAAAGGAAAGGAAAAAATAAGTAGAAGACTTTCTTCTTTGAACTTAAACTTATGATGAGAACAGGCTGAAATGTGTTTGATATCTACTAGTCTACATTAATACCTACTAGAAAGCAGGATGATTTTCTTGATGTTTTGTTCAGGGCAGAGCTTGTTAGAAGATAGGAATAGAGTGATTTTTAATTTCTTCCATATCACAAAATTTGACTCACAATCATATGCCTAGAAAATTAGAATTTTATAAAAACTTTGAATTCCTTTAGAAACTTCTCCTTTAAAAAGGGTGATATAATCTTATTATTTTTTCTTAGGCAACTGCAAGCAACTTGTTTTATGGAAAGTATTCTAATTGAGAGCAGGTTCTTCCTTAATTAGTTAATGAAAAATTTTAAAACAAACATTATATCACTTGTGCCATTTACAACAATGACATAGTTTGTTTAAAAAACTGAAAAAAACACACAGATATAAAGCAACTGAAAACTGCTGTGGAAAACTTCAGAAATTCAGAAAGTGGAAAAAATAGTTTATCAAAGTCCAATGCATTCATCTCTAAGTTTCAATAATGATAAACTTCTAGACAGTCTTACTGCATCTATGTAAAGCATTTTGAAAACAAATCTCTTTCGTGCTGCTGACTCTTCATTTCTTCAGTGATCCAATTTAATATGATTTTAAGATGTTCTTATTGAGACAGTGGTAGAGATATTTAGAACAAAGTCTCTCCCTTTTGTTTTCGCTTGTGTAGAGTGACTAGATTGTTCTGTTGAGACAGTGGAGCCAGTTGTGTGTGACTGAGACTGTTCCTGTGGCTCCTGTGGGTAGCTTTTATCTTTGTAACGTATACCATGGCTGAGCCTAACTGCTTTTCCAAGGAGCAAGCTTGAGTTTTTAGGTCACAGCTTTAAAAAGCTTGGCTCTTCTTTGCTGGCTGCCTGTCCTTATGCTGAGTGTGAGGACTGGTACCCACACAGCAAGTCTGACCCCCAGAAACACATATCCTGACCCTCATGAGGACACATGGGAGAATTTTGCATCAATCCTTTTCCCTGCTTTTTGTTGAAATTAATGAACAGTAGAAGGGTTTGCTTTTAAGGAGACACTTCTGTCCTAAACACCATCTCTTTATGTTTTTAGTGTCTCTGTTGCGTGTGTACAATGGAGAGAATGGCTCAGGAGACCCTTTGGCTGCTATTCCATATGTCTGTGGTAAACCAGAAAAAACATCTGTGTTAGGTCTTGCCTTATGGCAAATTCTGATCCACAGTTGCTATTTTCCCACACTTACTTAAGCTTCTTTGCACATCTACTGGCACAAAGACCTAAGGATCTCCTCCTGAATATGAGATACGTGTGTACATCCAGGCCCTCTGGCCTTGCCTGTGGCAGATGCAAACAAATAAACAAAGACTGCTTGGAACTGATCTCTAATTGTGCAAACTGGTTCATGGTTGGGAAAGGAGGAAAGCATGTGAGAACAGTGAGTGTGCAGCAGCTCATCTAGAGACTGGCAATATTTTTAAAATTCTTTTTTTGGGGACTACATGTCTCCTTATGTAATCTTTTGAAATGAATTCATAATAAAGAAAAGCCTTGTTGGGTAAAATGACTGATTTTATATGAAGACCTGTTTAAAAGTTTGATATGATTTCAAACAGATGAATAGTTCTAACAAATTTGAAAGAGGTACTTAAAAGATAAATATTGGCTAGTGTCTTATGATGGTACTTCCAGAATGTGGACAAATATAAGTTAATATCTTTTGAACAGTGTTTTAAGTTACACTGAATCTAGTTTGTTTTTCTCCTGATGTAATTTTTTTTCACCATTACACTTTATGTGTTATCAATTAAGATTGGGCCTGGAATACCAGTTCATGAACATCAAAGATTTAGGACAAATGGAACATGCATATGGTTCTGGGTTATCTATGACTTCTGTTTCTTTCAATTACTCATCTTTCAGCCAAACAGGGAGGATGGAGATGCTTTCTATTTCCAAGCTTCATGAAGAAGATTGAAATCAATATTTGGGTCTGAAATTGAGAAATTGTGTTTGAAAATTTATGTATTTTTGGAAACAAACTGTATCACACAAGAATACAGTATTTGCCTTCCCCATGGGTAAATTGTTAAATTTATCCATTTCCTCAAGTTTATTTTTAAATCACTCTTTATCAAGGAGAAAGAGAAAACTTGAAATTTAGTTATAAGATAGAATTAATGGAATTTTACTAACATTTTGAATCGGAGAAGTAAACATTTATGACCAATAATGTCTACAGTGTGAAAAGAAATAGAATAAATAAATTCTGTTCCTTTACATTCTTGCTTACATTACTTTAGCTCATATAGTGTCTCAAAGTCAGATCTATTTCCATCAGAAAATGGGATTCCCAGTCCCAGAAGGAGAGATTTACCGCTTGAGAGAAGAATGGAGAGAAGCACATTTCCCATTCGGGGCTCTGCGTGGGGTCAGCTACGGACAGTCATGTTTGGGGTGGGCTGCATCTACAGTTCCTTCGCGTGGGTGCGTGCAGGAGTACCTGTGGACCTGCAGTGTGAAACAATTTCAGGGCCACCAGGTGCCAGTGGTTGGTTTTCTTACAACAGACCCTCGTTATGACAGGTTTGGAAATTCGTTTTATAGTTGTTTGTCTTACAACTTTGCCTCTAGATCTTCTCTGCTGAAATTCAGCCTATTTTGTGATTTTCTTTTTTTCTGACCTGTAATTTTCTCTTGTTTCTCTTTTCCTCCAGATTAATTTACATTCCTGTAATTTTCAGAAGGTTTTCCTACAGATACTTTTGACTTCTAATTCAGTTTGATTTCACTTGAAACATAATCAGATGAACTCTTTAAAATTCTGGCAGTGTTGCTTTCTTTTGATATTTCAATTCAATCAAGCAGTGGGTGACCAGATAATGGCATTTGTTAAGGTTTCCTTGGGAATTATTGACATGTCAGTATGTTTGACTTGCATTAATGAATTTCCCACTGCTCTTGCCCAAAGATGCAGGATACTTCATTGCAGCTGGTTCACCCTGGCACCTGCCACTTCTGTTTGGGGTTTCTGGGAAGCTGAGAGTACACTGTGGTGCAGTGTGAGGGGACAGAACTGGGAAGACGGCCTGTGATTTTAGGAACTGGTATTTACCTCTCCTATTATAATCTGCTAGCTCCTGACCTATTGGTTCAAGGATATCTA